CTCTCCTGAACCACAACAACAATGTTATCACTTCTTGATTCACTCTTGAACTTTCCATTCTTCAGTTGTAGACAATTTTGCTTGAAGTATCCCTTCTCCTTAAAGTTATAACATTTAGCATTTGATGAACCTTTAGACTTCAAATTTGAACGTGATCTCTCTCTGTTTCCCCCCTTTCATCTCTTTTATCCTTCCTCTCCCTGTGAACAAACCGGAATTGGCAACTTTTTCTCTAACTGAAACTTTTCTTTTCAGTTCCTTAGACATCAAAGAATCCTTCACATCATTCACAATGATCGTTGTCCTACCATAGAGCATGGTATCAATGAAATTCTCATATGAGTTCAGAAGAGAACATAAGAAAATGAGCGCCTGATCTCCATCTTCAATATTCATGTCAACCCCTTATAGATGTAAGATGATGCGATTAAGTTATCCAGATGATATTTCACTTGGGTACTTTCAGACATTCTGAGAGCGTACAAATGTTGCTTCTGATACAACCTGTTCGTCACAGAATTGTTCTGGTACTTGTCACAACATTTATTCCAGAGCCTAAAAGCAGTTGTTTGATTCATAAGCTCCCACAGTACTTCATCTGTCAAACTTAACAGAATCACATTATGCGCATTCGTCAGAATAACCACCTTTTTTCAACCTACATGTCCTTTGGCAATTTTGCCTCTCCTTCCAGTGCCACTACACATCCTTATTGAACCAGAAGAGCCCTCATCTTCACTTTCCACAAAGGGAAGTCATTTGAACCATTGAACTTCTCCAAATTAAACTTGTGAGTAGACATGTTCAATTACATGAACACAAATCGCAGCTCTGCTACCACTTGTTAAGAAGTAAAACAGAAAACAAGCAAAACCAAAAGCACACAAGACACAATATTTACGTGGTTTGGTCAAGGTGACCTACGTCGAAGGACAAGAGGGGACTATTATTTATTTATGATCTCTCAAACAGAGGTTACAAGTACAATTCAACATAGATTTGCATATCACTCTAGAATACAAGACATATCAAATGACTAGCAAGCCTCCCTATTTATACTGAAGGGATCAAACCTAAAACCCTAATGGGCCAAGCCCATTGGACCATAGGCCCACATATGGTGTTAACCAATCATAATCCACCATGCAACATCTTCTAGAACATTCATTCATGTCATATAACACATGTGCATCATCAATACACATGATGTAGCACCATATGCCATAGTGGAGCATCATGATGTACATGTTGTAGTCCTTCAACATCTTCAACTTTTGAGCATCCTTAAACAATCTTGAGCATCATAGCTGACTTCATAACTACGTGGCTCATCAAGGGATACCATGGCTCATCAGGGAACCAAATGGCGCACCTTGCACCAAGATGGCGCATCTAGCATGAATGCATGATCATGGCATATCTTGTGCAAGGGTTGGCGTATCTCCTCCAATAATGGCACACCTCCCTCAAAAATGGCGTATGAGGCTTCTAAGTTGGCGCATCCTCCTTCCAAATTAGCGCATATCCTTTTCAAGTGGCATATCTGGCTTGCCAATGACACATCATCCTTTCAAATGGCGTACCATGCTTCAAGAGTGGCACATCTATGCCTAGAGTGGCGCACCTTGAGCATGGATGGTGCATCCATTCACCAAGGTGCTCTATTTCATTCCCAGGTACTCTATACCTCTTCCAAGTACTCTATACTCCCTTTTAGAAGATTTGTTCCTTTGGCACTTGATCCGTTCTTTTGTCGGATGATCCATTCCTTTCTTACATACTCCATGAACCCCAAGTGCTCCATTGAATTCCAAGTGCTCCATTGAACTCAAATTCTCCATGAGAGTGCTCCAAATTCTCAAGTCACATTTAACAGTTACCATCCTAAGTCATTTTCTCTTGTTTATTTCCTCCTTAATTAAATTTTACCGGTAAATGTCGGTTACCAAAAGGTTATATTTGAACAAAGTATATAGTTCGTTGGTGTTTTTTTGTATAAATATCTTATCTGGATGTTGTTTTTTGGATGAACCAAACTTCGATGGTGTTTTTTGAACGACTTTGAAACATAATTACCCTAATAAGTCATTTTCCCTATATATTTTTGTTTCCGCTTGGTAGTATACCACATGTAGTGAAAAAAGAGCAAATCACATTCTCTTTGGCATTGTTTCAAGACTCATCATGTGGGATAAATCATAAAATTTTGAACAATATTCTAATTATGTCATGTTTCGAGCTGTAGGCCTCCTTAATGTTATTATACACCTTAACAAATAGACTATAATGACTAAGATACTTTGTGTAGCATGTATAACATGAAAAGAAAAAAAAGGAACAAGAAATACCCTTTTGTCATACAATAAATAGTTAATTATTAAAATGATCAGACATATATATGGTGTTAGAAATTAGAAAATAACCATGTTTTCTAATTTCATCATAGAACGATCAACAAGCTCGCGAAAAAAGCCTTACAAATTTGCAATTTACTTTTTACGATGCAATGTGTTTGTGCATATGATTCACATAATACATGGAAGTTAAAATCTTCGAAGCATAGACATTATGGTTTCATGGAAAAAGCCTTGGGGATTTACTAAGGAAGAAAAATGGCCCACTATCTTTATATAATAGGATAATGACATAAAAACTCTTAATTTTAGAAACAATATATGAATTTACCTTTTTGTGGATTTTAGGTTCATTAATACCGAATACTTGTAAGTTTTTGTTTTCGAAATTTACCATTTTGTGTATTTTAGGTTAATTAAAACTCTTATGTTTGGCAGAAATGTTCAGTTGTACCTTTTTTTTTCTAGTTCATAAAAGCCTTTAAGTTTGGTTTTCTAGTTCATTAAAACCCTTAAGTTTCACAGAAATGTTCGGTTTTACCGGTTAAATCTGCAAAAAAAGATAAAATCCAAAAAAAGTTGCAAGTATCCGATATTAGTGAACATAAAATCCAATAAAGGATAATTTCGTATACTTCTGTTAAACTTAAAGACTTTTATATCATTATACCTTATATCATACATTCGGAACCGTTTTACTTTTTCTTAGTGCCTTACTAGGCTTGTTCTAATAATTTTTGCCATTCCAAAAAAATACATTCGGAACCGTTTTACTTTTTCTTAGTGCCTTACTAGGCTTGTTCTAATAATTTTTGCCATTCCAAAAAAAATATATCCGAAAGACAAAAAAAATTAACATACAACAATATTATGAATATTGCATTCTTTCACGATTTAGCCAAAGAGAAAATGACACCGTTCAGGTTTTTTCCAAAGCACCTATATATATGCAAGAATGATTTGTATCGACACATTACTTGATTTGTTGACTACCTTCCACATTATCGGCAATTAACAAACCTTTATCAACCGTATTTGTATGCAATCATGAAATATCCCAACAACCATAACATATTTTGCTATATGGAAATTAATGAAAAGATGTCTGATTGTCTCAATCTCTAAATCACAAATAGAACACCGGTTTGACTCCAAATCTATACTATTTTTATTCAAGATTTATATAGTAGGCATACGATATATCCAAAGACATCAAACTAGGATATTAACCTTTATTATGTCTAACGTATTCCATTGTGTTTTATAACCATTTGTTCCAACAAATGGTCATCTATAAATTTACACCATGAAGCAATGAACTCACCTTAAGGAGACACATTCCACCTCTATGTATTGTTTTTGTTCGAAAAAACATATGATTGAAGACAAATATCCAAATTTGTTTTTTCCACGTCATCACCTCTCAGATGCAATTGTATAAACCAACTCTAATTCCAAATTCCACAATTATAACAATCGGAAATTAAAAAGCCTTGCTGACTCTAACACATAAAATATCGGGCATAGCATATATAACAGTCTATCACCCACCCATACATCTTCCCAAACTAAGTATTATCTCCATGACCAACCACTTTTTGTATAAAAGAAACATTATCTACGTGTTAGTCTTGCAAATCACGAGTTTCCTTCACCAAGCCTCCCAACATGGTAGAAGACTTTAATCTCCTATCACCATTTTTGAACCCTCCTTGACAGTCTTGAATTGACTTAATGTTAACACCCAAAATGCATCATTATCCCTAAAAACGACATCTCCATTTAGATAGAAGACAACAATTCGACTCGAATACGCTTCCAATCACAAGGCGTCAATTATCTTTGCCCTCTAGGATTTGATCCTATTTAATACAAGAAATTTTCATGTGTCTATTGTATCCTCCTTAAAAATGTGTTACAATAACTTTCTAATAGCTTCAAAATTGCCATTGAAATCCAAAGATGGAAAAGTAAATCACTCCAAGACTCTCCAAAACTAATTTGAGGAGAGTTAGTTGGTCTCCGATTGAAAGAGAGTCAACATCCTATCTTGAAAGTTTAATTTTCTTAAGAACGGAAATTCAAACTTTGTCTATCCCTATTGTTACCAATGATTAACCCCAAGTATGCAAGGGGTAATTTTCCAATCTTACAACTCAACACAATCAATTACTAATTCCATATCAACATTAATACCAAAAAGGATACTCTTCAACTAGTTAATTCAAAAAGCTAAGACCAAACTACATATAAAAGACGAGTTAATCACTTTTTTCATCCTAATCATTTACATAAAAAAAATTATATTTAAGGCAAAATTTTATTTTATAGTTTTTAAAATCAACGGACAGACCCCAAAAAAAAAGAGAAAAAGGAGAAGTTGAAACGAACACATTTTTTTTTCCTTTCTCGCTTATGAAAAATCAATTCATTTCTTCCTTAGGGTAGTTGGTATGGGAAAAAAAACTGATATTGAGAGGCTTAGGTGGACAACCATAACGACGTTAATGCCAAATGATCGCCACCCCGACCCGACCTCATGTTGTGTAAAGCCTCATCAACTGCTCAACATCTCATGAGGCCACGTATCTTCATTTAATTTCTTTTAAATTTATTTTTATATACATTTAATTTAAAAAAATAATAATGAAATGGTGTGGTGATGTATTGGGTATTTCATAACAAATATAATGTTGTCAGGAGAGTAACATGAAATAGGAGATTATTGACATGAAATATGAGGTTATTACATAAAAATAATATGAAAAAGTGTCACTAGATCCACCAAAAAACTCTATAACAAAAGGTAAAATAAAAAGGAAGTTTTATTTTGCACGTTGTATGAATATTTTAATGTTACGTTGCCACTTTCCTATACGATTCCAGCCACTTTCTTGGTGGCGGCCGGTAGGGGGCGGCTCAACCCTCATATAACAAGTTAACACCAACACAAGCCAAGCCACCCACTCAACAGTCAACACGCTTCTGTTTCTGTTTCTGTTCAGATTTCAGATCCAACAACACAATGAGTATGAGAATGCAAACTTTAAGCGAAGAAGTAGAGTACAACTGGACCGCCGATCGCCGTCCCGGCCGTGATATCGTTATCGCAGTTGATCATGGCCCTAAATCCAAACACGCCTTCGATTGGGCACTCCTCCACTTCTGCCGCCCCGGCGACACCCTTCACCTTGTCCACGCCGTCTCCAGTAAGTGCAATTTCTCTGTTGTTCAGTGTTCACTCTAATTTAGCGTTTCAAGTTCAATACACGGAGTAGATCACTACCTATCACTAAAATATTCCTAATTTCTCTTCGTTTTTGATTTTTCTGATTGATACTGGTTGTTGTGTTTAGGTTTAAAGAACAATATCGTTTATGATGTATCGCAGACGCTGATGGAAAAACTATCTTTGGAGGCCGTGAAGGTTGCTATGGTGAGTAATTTTTTACCGCTTATGCTTTAGATAATTTCGCTTGTGGATTTATGTGTTCTTACATGAATGAACTTATTAAATCTATGATGTTTTGTGTGTACTTAATGATGATCTTCTTACTTGATGTGTAGAAGCTTATACATTAGTTACAGAGTTTTCTATGTATATGTTAGTTAAATGAAAGAACAACTCCTAGTAGCAATATATACTCCATCAATTCCAAATTGGAGATGCATGATTTGCAAATGCCAGTTATTGAAATTAGAGGGAAGACTTTAGGAAGACCTTCTTTTCAAGTGAAGCGGGGGACTATAAAAGATTTTATAAATTGTGATAAATCTTGGGACTTTGGCATTTCACATGTTGACTTTTGGCATCTAAGTTTGTGGCGTACTTTAAAATGGAAGAAATCGACTCTTTATTAATTCAAAATTGTATGTTTCTGAAACCCTAATCCATCGACTCCTAAATAGTTTGAAGGAGTATTTAGTGCCTGTGACCCCAACTGTCTTATGTATAACTCCAATACATGTGATAAAGTTGTTATCAAGATTTTCATATGTATAAAATTCATGATAACACCTACCTCTTCTCTTTAGCTGGAGTTCATTAAATAGGGCATTATCCTATGGCAAACCCTGGATTTTAAAAGCCAAAAGTATATGCTTGCAATGAAAACTTACTCTATTTTTCCAATCTATGGGCTGGGGTCTAATAGATTATATAAATCTTATCATGTGACTTTATCTGTTTTCTACAAAAACAATGAGACACACATGTTTTTTAAAAATGTAAAGAAAGCAATTTTGAGTTATAATGTATATGCGCATTGAAAATACTCTGTAAACAACTTGTTGCATTTATAATTGTATTTTTGTAATTTCTGATTTTGTAACAAATTTTAAAATTCTATTTGAGTAGGTAAAAACAGTGACACGAATAGTTGAAGGAGATGCGGGTAAGGCAATTTGCAAGGAAGCAGAAAAAGTGAAGCCAATAGCTGTGGTCATGGGTACAAGAGGCCGCAGTCTAATGCAAAGGTATTGATGGATAATTAATATTTAAAAAATATTTGTGAAAATAACGATATACTTGGAAAATTGTTGGAAAAAATAAATGAGGTGAATTTGTGAGAAACAATCATATATAACTGTCTAGATTAAGTACTTAACCTATGAAGCCCATTAAGTAAAAAAGTAAGGACCTCTTATTTCTCACAGTATGTTGCTTAGTTTCACCCTCCCCTACTTTCGTTTTTACTATTGTTATTGTTATTTATTACATTTGATGTTATTGTTAACCAACTTGTTTTTCATGTCTTCAGTGTATTACAAGGAAGTGTAAGCGAATATTGCTTCCATAATTGCAAATCAGCACCTGTAATAATTGTTCCTGGCATAGGTATGAAATTTCAATTCTTTTTCATTATTTTTAAATAGTTGTAAAAATGGGTTTCTGAATGAATTTATTATATAAAACAGTAGAAGCTGGGGAAGAATCAGTGGTTCCGATGGACTAGAGATCACTGTAGATGGTGATTTCTTGCTCAAATTGATTGTTTTTCATCCTTAATTTGTACATTGTGTGGGTTGTATTTATTTTGTAATATTTTATATGCTAATATTCTTATGTTTGGTTCTGTAATATTATTATTCTAATATAGTGGAAGACAATTTTATGTTACTCTTTACAAAATAAATGCAACTTCTCTATAACAAAGTTTAAATCTAGAGTAAATTGCATTTTTGGTCCCTGGGTATAGCTGATTTTAGCAATTCTAGTCTATTTTTTTGGGTGTAGTTTTGGTTATTGTTCAAAGTAAAATGATTGTTTTTGCTCCCTAAGTGTAGCTGATTTTGCAATTTTGGTATAAAAAATAGCCCTTTTATATGGAACATGGATAAATAAAAGTGTTACAAAAACTTCAAATAGGGACCGAAATTGCAAAAGAAAACTTTTGGGGACCGAAATTGAAAAAACCAGTTAAACCTAGGGACCAAAAATGTAACTTACTCTTAAATCTAAAACCAGATTCTGATGGGAAAACAGGACGAAAGTGGTAAATAAAATGGTCCTAAAATATCTCTGGTGAAGAGGTTGACTGATATCCACACTTTTGGCAAGAGAATCTTGTTGTGTAATTTTGGTGTTATTATTCCATGCAATTGCATTATGTGAAGCAGAAAAATTCAAAGGAATAAATCTGTGGCTGTTGGAGTGGGCCTAAAGGAAAAAGGTTATATGGCATATCACAATTGAGTGAGGCAAACAAAATCAAGTAGATCTTGGTATGGATCAGGCCGGATCCACCCGTCATTGTTACATTTGGGTTGAAAACGAACGAAAGCTGCGGCTCTTAGACGCCCTAAGACCAAGTATATGCAGCCATATTCATACGCAGTTTTCATGGTCCCCCTTGTCTTTCTGTTAATTTAACCGATTAACAATGACATTAGTTCACAGTATATACTACATATATAATTCACAGTAGAGTTGGTTCTTGGTTAATATATTCATTAAAATGATCAAAGGTTCGAGTTCAGCAGACACAATGTGAGATTTTCAATTCCAATTAGAACTGGAAATAAGTTTCGGGGCTAGAGTTGGGTTTAGGTTGACCTTCCTAATTAACAAGTTGAGATTCTCAGGGCGTGTTTGACATGGAGCGTTTGAGAGCTTCTAGTTTCTAGCATTTGACAAAACTCTTTGTTTTAAACAAAAAACTTTGTTTAAGCTTTTAACGTTACACTCCAAATCTAAAAACTATCTCACGTAGCGCTTAATAAAACGCTATCAGCTATCTGCTACCCGTTAGCAGCTAGTTTTGTTGAACACGCCACCAACTCAAATTATTAGGTAAATGGTTTGATCACATGTTGACCAATTTGCTTTGTTTTGTTTGTTTGTAAGCACAAGTTGTTGATTAAATGGGCTGAGCATGTGATGGCTCATTTAAATTTTAATGTTTACATAAATTTTATAGATTTCAAACCCAAATAATTGTCCATAGAACATTTGCACGTCATTACTTCTAAGCAACTTAACTTTCATTTTAACAATCTAATCTGACCTCTAAATGGAATATGGACTTTGAAATTCTCAAAATCTGAGATAAATTTGTGAACGGGCGTATCCCAAATGGCTTTATGTTCAAGACTTTAGGGTTTCGTTTTTGTATTCCTACTTTATAAAGTATAAAATATAAAATAATGTATATTTAAATGAGAAGTGGATATCAGAAATTTCAACTCTAACTTGATTGATTTATTTAAATGTGTGGAGAATTTCAACTAGAACCGTTGATTTTTTGGGTTTTGCTATTTTTTTCTAACTATATCCAATATAGATTGGGCTGCTGGTGGACACATATGACATAACCGGTTCAAATAAAACCGAACCGCCGGCTTATATATGTTAAAAAAAAACATGTTTTTCTCCCGGTTTTTCTAGAAACACTGAACCAAATTGATTTTTAAACCGAAAAAACGGTTTTTTTACAAAATTTCATTTCCTAAAAAACCCAAAAAACCGAATAGATTATAATCGAAACCGATCTAGAGAAAACTAGTTTTTCAAAAAATCAAAATCGGTTTAAAACTGGTATTTGTTCACCCCTAACGTTGTATACCAAATTTTCCTCTCATGTGATGCTTGTGGGAGAGGGCAATGTGGTATAACTTATGGGTTGCTCGAAAAAAAACATTTTTACATAAACTAGCCAATGAGTCATATGGAATTACACTTGTTAAAGAATGATATTTTTCGTCATTTATAGTAGAGTATGTCTCTATCGGTCCCAAAAGTATACCTAGACAACTCATTGATAGGTTTATGTCTGTTTGTCTTTGAGTTGTCGTTGGCTAGCTGCATTTAGGTGCTTGCAGTCTTGGATGTTATTTATGAAAGGAATATATGATTTTAAATCGGGGCAACCATCCGTCATTCGAATATGGTTATTTCGTTATCCCACTAGCCATATAGATCTTTATTCAATTATGGATGAAAAATTGACTTCTCACTAAAATCTTGCATTTTCACTGTTCAATTGCTTCGCAACTTGCAATTTGTTGTCCATTAATTTTGATATTGGACCACTATTGAGAATGGCTATGATTATTGTTGAAATGAATTCATACTGTGTCATATTCTTGGTCCCTGTTTATGTTTCTTTGATATATTAAATGTGGAAAAATCTTATCTATACCATAAAAATCTATAACATAAGGTGGAAATGTTGTTATATGCATTCTATATTCTAATTATTGTTCCTACAATGCCAATATCCGTACTTGCATATACGATATATACTTTAGGCAAATGAGTAAAGAATAATGATCAATAACAATTCGGTTTAATACATGTCAAAAAATTTCTTTCACTCATCACATCTCCATCTTCATATTGCTTACTTCATTTGAACCTGAAAAAAAATACAAGTAATCTCCTTTAGGTTATAATAATATGCTTCATTTTATTGATTTATCATAACTAAACTAATAAAGCTCTTATTACGTTATCTTTACTCTAATCCACTACTAAAAGGTTGTTTGATAGATGATGAAAATGTTTGATTGTATGAAACAGCTCTGAATCTGACGAGTAAAAAATATTTCAGAAGGGTCAGGACCGAGTTACTTTTAAGTATGGTACCAAACAGTCATAATCTCCCAAGTCAGACAGTTTCTTATCAGTCCCAATAAAACATCAAAGAGCCCCTAAATATTTAGAAAACGATTGTTTCTATTACTATTACTGAAATTGATCGAGCGTCATGTAATTATTTTGAAGTTCTATATTTTTTCTTTTTTTTTAATGAAAATGGAAAGTTTGTGGTTATCTAAAGGACCCATTTTTTAATCATTTTTGGGTGGAAGACAAGGATAAAGAAAGATACCAACTATGCAACTTTCTTGGTTATTGAGCTTGGACCCATTTATTCTTTTAGAAAATCATTCCAACATTTGGCATCATTTTTCCATGACTTTTAAAGATTTTTTTAGTTACCTGTAAATTGATGGGATTGAAATGGTATCAATGTTCCTTGTTCAAATTCCATTTTGTACAGATTCTGTAAATCAGCATCCCACGTAGCAGTTGGCTGGATTTGCTGTAACAATAAAGGTCGGATCTTTCGTAAGAAAACCGAGACTTTTCTACTTGTACTTTCTGCCTCTACTTGTACTTTTCTACTTGAAAGTTACATTTGAAAGAATGAAGGGGAAAAAGTAGAAGGCATTACATTGAAACAAGATGAATCCATAAATGTTTCCGGAATCGGAATTGGAGCAGTAAGACTTCTTCTTATTGCCATTTCCGTTGAGTTAATATCCATGTCTAGTCCACAATATGAAACCAATTGCTCCATAGAGTTTAACTGAAAATATGTGGAAGTAGCCATTTCCGAAGAACACCCGAGTCCCGGAATTGGGGATTGAAACACCTGATTGTAGCAAGAAAATAAGTTTGTTAATTACTAATAACTTAAAGTTACCGCAAATCATAATGTTTTGCTATCATTAATCATTATTAATCTTGTTAATTACCTCTTTCGTGAATACACTTTCAATGTTGAAATCTAGCTCTGGATTCACCGTAGCAAGCTTCATCGACAAAAACTGTTGGAATCCAAAATATATGAATGCTTAGTATTTTTTTTTCTTTAAATTGTTATATGTGAGTTGAATCACTTAAATCATGCATCAACTAGTTATTTTACATGAAAACGTATCTTTTAGATTGCATTTGTTACATATGACATGACTAGAGACGAGATTAAACTGAATTAGACAATTGCATTTGTTACACATAACATGACTAGAGACGAGATTAAACTGGACAAGAGTAATAAACTTTTTAAGATTTTTTTTATGATGAGAAGACATTTTATGTCTTTTCATCATACAACACAAGAGATAGAGACTTAGTCTCTATCATGTCGTTTTAGGTGACACTGTGTCATTAACATCCGTTTGAGTTACTGTCATTAGTCATGCATATTATAATACATTGTCAGACTTGTACTATGTAACAAACTGCTAAAAATTCCCTAATGATTTGATTTTATACCTCTACTTGTTTTTGAAGGGATTGAACGTAATTGATAATTTCATCAAGCATTCCAGCCTTCCCCGTAATCTTATTACACCCTGGAACCAAATCTTGCAAGTACTTCATTCTCTCACTGATTTTCTCCCTTCTTACCTGTTTATCATTAATCATCATCATCGTCATCATCAAATTCAGTCATAATTATCGATCTTTACGTGGAAAAAAGAAGCTTTTTTCTTGGGTCACATCACATACTCTTTCGGCTAAACTGTGGCTGTCGGTGGCTTGACCACGACGTGCACGAACATGAATATAATCCGGTTTTTGAACCTCGGAAACCTTCGATTTCTCCTTTGATGAAGCGTTCGTAGAAGTTTCTTTACTGTTACTGCTTTTGTTATCGCAATTACTATATTGATGTGTGATTTTGGAATCTCCTTCTTCAGCACACCCTTTTATCTTCTTATCTTTTTCAGAAACTACCTACATATGTCACACATCAAACAAGTTAATTTAATGAAACTTACCATTAAAACGGAATAATAACAATAAAAAAATAATAATAACAATATAGACTAAAAACCTCTAGGCTTCGACCCTTGTCGGCTTTCCTTTTCTTAGGCGACACCGAAACTGAATTCGAATTCGCCGGTAG